AAAGAGGAAGATATCGTCAAGATCAGTAACTGTGGCGAGACAAAAGGCAGCCTTCAGAACGGGACATTCATGTGGATATAAACCTGAAACTCTGTCCTAGCAATCGAAATCATGGCGGCGGCGGGGGGGGGGGGGCACAGAGACCTATTCGTCCCCCTTCCGATTCTAAGTTCAATTCATTAAGAATTGAGGCCTGTAGGCGACAAACAGAAACACAAACAGAAAATGGGCGAGGCTCTGCCACTAGGGGTTGGGCATACACCAAAAGAAAAAAAAATGGGGCAATTCTTAGGGTAAAAGGATTAAGTAAGCAAAGTTTCAAGATGAGCCATTAAGAAATGCGTCCTGAAGATGACAAACATACATTTACAAAATATGGGCGTGGCTCTGTCCCTGGGGGTCGGGCATGTGCCAAAAATAATAGGGACCACCCTTAGGGTATAAGGAATAAGTATACCAAGTTTCAAGACAATTTATTAAGAATTGTGCCCTGTAGGCGACCCACAGACATATACACGCATTTCTTGATAAATATTGTATGTAACTGAAATGCACCGTTATTTCTGAACTCTATTACATTAAACGATTATGAAAAAATATAAAGTAATACCTCAATTTATCCATATGGCTTTTTATGGAAGAAATGTGGAAATACAACCGAACGAGTCCCAATGCTAGTTACGCATAATCGAGGACACCGCCAAACGAGGTCATCTGCTCTATACTATCATATTTAGGGCTTAACACTTATTGTGGTCTTTAACCTGTAAATAAATACGTTGTTGTCGCCCCCTTTGACCACACATGGGAAAAATACAATATAACTGTTTATAATTGATGTATTGACCAATACCCCGATAGAACAGTCATTTATTAATGTGATCAACTGAGGACGCATATTATGTTTTAATACGGACAATGGGGACTTTATTAATGTGATCAACCGACAAATGAGGACTTTGCGTGTGGTGAACGCCAACAACCGAGTACATACACACTCACATCCGAGGACGTTACAAGTTGATATCAACAATATAAACTGAGTGGGTTCAACACTCTATAATCGAGAACAGGCCCCCCTTTGATGGGTGGGACAATTTACCCAATACCACCCGAATAATATCTCCACATACTACAACATAATGATGCGAAATGTGCATATTACTTGAAATGTTTCAAAAATAGTGAGTTACATCGCGGGAAAATTACTTCAAATGCGATTACCGATTGTTTGGCTGTTCTATTTGCCTCCCTATGTCCCCCAAAACCAGCACATAATAACCCAATACTACCAAACACGTATCAAATACTACACAATAGTATCACTTAACAACCTTCAAATAACACCACATTTGTATAATTACTGAAACGAATATTAGATAATTTGCAAAAAATTGAAATTAGTACGCTGTTATCTCCTTTTACAACCGACAAATCGATTTCAGATTGCTACTCAAATTAATCAACTTGTTGGGCTTTGCAGTTGATTTCCGAAGCGATGAAGTTAAAATAAGAAAAAATAAGTATTTTGTCTATATTTTAATCATTATATATCATTAAATCAAAACTCGCTAACTACTGTATTATTATATAAGATGGCCATCAGATGATAAATAACTATTTTGTAGCACTATATGGGTATCGTCAGGCGGTGGCAATAACAAAACGTCATTACAGATGTCCCGCTATACTTGCTCTTCCAATTAGCATGGGGGGACATATTATACATTATTTCATTCATGATTTAATCATGAAATGGATAATCGTGACTATGTTTTTTATCGTACCGACTTTAGTAATGATCCGTCTTCATTAGCCCAGGTTAGGAGCAGAACAGTAGGACGTTAAACTCCATTTCATTTCATTTCATTTAGTAATGATGATCGAGGCTAGACCAAAAATTCAATCGCTAAGTGCCTGGTTCAGAGTTGATCAATTTGACTGAAATTTCCAGCAAATTCCCTTTACATTATCTTGTTTTTAATTATTGTAGTGGGAACTGTCAGCTCCCTATCTAATCTCCCATAATGTATCTGTAAGTAAATATGCAATAACAAACTAAATGACATAAAAAAGAATAAATATAAACATATGCAATTTGTTTTGTTAAAGCACATACGTTCATTGGAAAATAAATACAAACATTCATTATGCAATTTGTTTTGTTAAAGCACATATGCTATTTAGTGAGTTAAAACACATTCGTTAAGTTTAATAGTTGACATGCGAGAGAGGGAGGTTTAACGTCTATATTTCAATAATTGTCCCCCACCTTTCGAAGAAAGCAGGGGACTATAATTAAAATGGGTTCGTTCGTCTGTCTGTCCGTCACACTTTTTGGGACACAATAACCCCCTTTCGAATTGAGCTAGAATGTTCAACTTGGTGTAGGTGTTTATTAGGTCAATGCCTTGATAGAGTTCCAAGATGTGCATTTTCTGCTTAGGGTAAGCAGAGATAAGCAATTTGATTGGTTGATACTTTGGGACACGATAACTTAGTTCTATTTAAGTGAGAGTGATGAAACTTGGTGTATAGTTTTATTACATCAATACCTTGACTAAGTTCGATAATGAGCATTTTCTGCTCAGGGTAAGCAGAGTGACAAGCAATTTGATTTGTCGAGACTTTGGAACACAATAACTCTCATTCTAATTGAGTTAGAATGTTCACACTTGGCGTAGGTGTCAATTAAGTGAATTCCTTGATGGAGTTTGAAGATGAGCATTTTCTGCTTAGGGTAAGCAGAGATAAACAGTTTGATTGTTTGATGCTTTGGGACACAGTAACTTTAGTTCTAATTAAGTGAGAGTAAGGGCACTTGGTGTATAGCTTTATTATATCAATGCCTTGACGAAGTTCGATAATGAACAATTTTTACTATTCAATTTAAGTACAATGATTTGTCTGTGCTAGAGAGGATACACAAAAAATCCACGTTCACGCCTGGGTAAATAGAGAGAAATGGGGTTTAACGTCCAATATAGACATAACCTGTTATTTTGGGACTAATCTGCGATTCAATGCAAGTTGAATAATTTGCTTGCGCCAGGAGCCTTAAGTAGGTGGAGGACCCAGAGAAATTCCACGTTAACGTCTGGTATCGAAACCAGGCCACTAGCTATCAATGACAGACCTTATGATCTAAAGTGCATACGTTAGACCACTTGACCATCCATCCCTTCCTATGGTTAAAGAAATGAAATGAAACTGGGTTTAACGTCCTACTGTTCTGCTCCTAAACTGGGCTAATGAAGACGGGCATATGCCATACAGTGGGCTATGAGGGAAATTTTGCCCGGGCAGCGGCACTATCGCCTACTCTTATATCGATTTCCAACTGCCAAGGGATCTTTTACGTGCATTCGTCTCATCCGAAGGACTAGACAGCTGTCCTTGTCAGGCCCTCCGTCCTGCATCACTGACAAGGGGGAACTACGCCGGAAAATCTGGATGAACTCTCAGGGCCATATGTTGTAGCCACGTCACTTCTGACATTTTAAAAAGCTATAATGATGATGATGCAACTGTTTTTTCACAGTTTGGACAAAACTTATTAACAGATTCCAAAAACCGATCGATCAGCCATCTCAATAATGTAAATATATCCTCAAGGTCATTAGAATTTTACAACTTAGACTCATAAACATCAAACGAAATTGGGCTTAACCTGTCACTTTTGTGTACCAAACAGGTCAATGAATTTGGGCCATGCTGTGTGCAATGAAGGGAATTATACCCAGACACCTGCGATTTCGACCTCTATTCATTTTATTTCAACTGACAAGTAGCCTTGTAAAGAGCACAGGGGAGGATATGGATTTTTTGTTCCAGAAAAAAATCCATCGTTAGTGAGCAGGCGTGAGACTTCCGCAAATCGCTAGATCGGAGACGGTCCTGCACATTTTAGCACACATGACGTCATATGTGGGTTAGGTCCTGCAGATTTCGTCAAAGTCTCAAGATGTAAACAGGGCTAGTGCTAGGGAGGAAAGTGGACCGCAGATACACGAGCAGATGCTAGATCTACTATAGGTGACCAGAGCAGCTCCACCAACAACCAAGCTCTTAACCACACAGATCCCCACTTCTTTCCGACTCCGACAAGAAAATCACTACCAAATTTCAAGGGCAAAATAGAACTGAAAGGTAACGACGCCATCCACTAGAGCCCAGACACGGCCAGAGAGATCATCAACTGATGGATGAGTAATTTATACTAGGATTAGGGGAAAGGAACGAGAAGCCGTCTTTAGGACAGAAAGTTGTCAATTTGAGCGACAGGCTGATCATTCCCCTAGAAATGAACATTCTTAACAAAGGCCGTAAATTCACCCGAACCCCCACAATAACATTCATAGACCCCATCGCCCAGGCAACTGATCGCTTCTAAAGAACACTTTCGTTGACTTATTTTTGCTTTAGTTGCAAACTTGGCAGAGGTAAAAAATTTCTCACAGAAAAATCCACATTACGCCAGCCATTCTAAAAACTTTCGACGAAATGAACACAGAAATATCATCAATTCAACCACAATCACCAAATCTCAACCGAGCAACAAAAACAGCAATAAACATCCTCACAAAAGACAAAAACCTAATAATTAAGAAAAGCGACAAAGGCTCGTGTTGTGTCATAATGAATCGCACAGATTATATCTCTGGGGCAGAAAAACAATTAAATAACCCTAAGCATTACACTAAATTAGACCAACCCATCTTTAAGGACACCACAACCTTTATAAACAACATTTACATGAAATGCAAGACGAGAAATACATAACAGCAAAACAATATGATTATCTATCCGCTAAATCTGACTGTGGACAACGAGATCTCTTTACTCAACAATACATAAAAATCCAGACACGGAATGGTTTATACCAAATACATTACCCTAGGGACGCTCAATAATATCAGACGGTGGCAGTGAATCATACAACGTATCACAATATATAGACCAATTCTTATTACCTCTAGCATGCCAACAACCATCCTAACTTAAAGACACTAACGATTTAATTCACTAAATCAAGCAGTTAAAGAGTCCCAGAGCACACCATCTTAATATCCATCCACGTACAGGGCATGTTCACGAACATCGATAATACCATAGGAGTTGATGGTAAATACAGCAAAAGGTTTAACAATGAACGGCAATGCACCATTTTATTTCTATCATCATAAAATAAGGTTGTTACAGCTGTGGTGATGGTGATAGTGGTGACAGTGGTGGTAGTGGTGATAGTAGTGGTGATTGGCTGAAAATACAGAGACAGCCTTTATAAGCCTAGTACAAATATCAACCTAACTGTCTTATGTGACCTTTAAATTTCCATGATAAAATGTACAACCATACATACATATTTATCTACTCAACATACAAAGTACATAAGAATAAAGAAATAACCACAAAAATAAGTATTTGGCTTAAACAGTCGTCAACATCATAAGCAAACATCATAGTTTATGAGAGGGCCTTTACCCAGCAACCATGCCGAATAGACGCTATAATGTGACAATTCTAAACTCTTCCAAAACCAGTAATTATGAATGTGACAACTAATAACAGTAATATAAATACTTTCACTAATTACTATACTCGACAATTCTATAATAATTTGTGTGCTCACCGTATTTTATGTCATCACACAATGAAAAATCAACTGAATAATAGCACAGCTTCATGGCAGCAGCCATGCTTCGTCAATGGCGACCTCTCAAGACACGGTCAACCAGACTCAAATTAGCATAGCAATTTACTCAACAATTCTGTTGAAGCTTGAGTGATATTTTTCGATTTTTCGAAACCACAGTTTAATTAAAGCAAGTACAACTAGCAAGAGTTACTTGCCGGTGAGGGAGAGTGACTTCCCTTTGACCTTGAGCACGTGGAAGAGAACGGAGCGAAAAATATTTACACAGATCCACTCAAAACACCGAGAAAAACTTTTATATTTAAAACTCAGTTGTTAATAATTTGTGAGACTAACTACTAAAGTGCACAAGTATCAAGAGTAGACTATCCACAGTTCGCGAATATCCTCAAGCTACAACTGAAACCAGTCTTTCCCGGTAGAAACAGTAAACTTCAAATCAGTATACATTTGTCCTCTTTTATAATTCATTCATAAACATTTGCCTTTTGTCCACTATTTCAACATATTCTCCCCTCCCCCATCTTCATATACATAATATAAGTTTTGTCCACAATTCTCAACCAATCTTCGAGTTCTGTCCCTTGAGACGGAAACAGTGTTTTTCTCGTATTTCCACAAAGCCCTATACACACAGTGTTTTTCTCGAGTTTTTGAATACACAATCCCCTGTCCACAAAGTTTGTTTAATACAAATATATACACAGTACCCAATCCACAATACACATATCCCTAGTTCTCAATTCAATATTATTAGCTATAGAATTTTATAATTTAAACAATGTCAAACCCACCTTCACAAATCCATTCAGATCATTTTGCATGGTCAGACCCACCAAATTTAGAACGATTGTTCAATAATAGCCAACACGATTCTCAAACTATTGATAACAAAAGCCAAGGATCAGGTAGAAGTCTAAGTAGCCATCAAAAACTCATGTTAAAAACAGAATTAGCCTTATTAAAGGTACAACAATTAGAACAAGACTATGATATATCACAACAAGAATATGATATATCACAACGTTTGGCAGAAATTGAAACTAAAAGAAAAACTCTTGCAGCTAAACATATGGTTGAACAGGCCAGATTAACTGCACAAGTTTTACAAAAATGCTCAAATGACGTCATGCCTAATGATAAACCACCACCAGCATTGACTTCACAAAATCCACAGGCTACAAATACCAGAGTAAATGAATGGATATCACAAATTCCATTTTTAGACACACAACAAAATACTAATAATGAGAATAATAATCAACCACCTAATTTAATTCCACAACAAAATGTAACCAATACTTCAAGCCAGGTACACACTAATCCACAAATCACAAATGCAAATCCACAAAGCAATGTAAATCCACATGCCACCATGAATAATCCACAAAACACAAGTACAAGTCCCATTATAATTTCACATGGGCCTACCCTCAATCCACAAGCTCCTGAGCTCACACAGACTAATTATCCTCTACAAGAATACTATTCACCAATGATACAGCCTAACTTTACACAGCCTAATGCACCAATTTCTTTAGTTGGATCCGTTAAATCTCATAAAACAGACATTTCTATAAATAGATCCATGGATGTATGGATTTCAGAATTAATTGAAGGCCAAGAAACCTGTTTGCACACTACACAAAAAATTGATGCCAATAACCAATTATTAAAAATATTAGTCAAATTAGAGTCTGAAAGGGACCTCCCTAAAATTGAAATTCCTATATTTAGTGGTTCCGCTCTTATGTGGCCCCGATTTATTGAACAATATTATTGGCAAGGCATACACGGCCTGAAATAAATGACGCAAGGCGATTAGACCTCTTGATGTCTCATTTAAGGGGTGAAGCCATAAATCTTGTCCAGGGTCTAAGCTATACTGGTAGAAACTATGCATTAATATTAAAGGAGCTTAAAGCAGCCTTTGGTCATAAAATTAAAGTATCTCGCCTACACATTGATAAATTGACCACAGGCCCAATTATTCCCAGTCGAGATAGTCATGCACTTAGAAATTTTTACATTGTTGTTAGAGACACTGTCAATAGTCTACAGCAATTAGGCTACACCACTGAACTATATAGTAGTGATGCAGTTATTAGGACTTCAAAACGCTTACCTTCAGACAAATTAGGTAAATGGAACGAATTTACACGCAAAATTATGCAAGACAGGGAACCCAATTTACTTGATTTGTTATCATGGTTGAAAAAACTGGTTGAAACTGATATGAACCCGTATGCTATTGAGCGGTCAATGCCTAAATATGACAGACATTCTCAATCTCAACCTTCTCCAAGGCCTAGATCTATTTCAAATACTCGTAAAGCCCCAGATACACATTTTAACAATCAGCCAAGTCTATCTAGTCCAACAAAAGCCCCATGTCCTCTTTGTAATGAAGCGCACTATATATATCGCTGTACATACTACCTAAACAAGCCTGTCTCAGAGCGTAGGCAAATAGTCACAGACCATAAATTATGTAATAACTGTCTAAAGCCATATCACACCCCAGATAGTTGCTTTTCGGCTATTAGATGTAGGGAACCTGGTTGTGAATAAAAGTATCATTCCACTTTACACCAAACACACCATAAAGCCCCGTTCCCACAACGCACACAATTTCCCCATTCCACTAATCCACGAACACAAAGTCAACATCGTAATGAAGCTCAATCCACACTAAATGCTCAATCACAATCCTTATCGCAAACTCGACCTAAAGCCCCGTTCACACCAAACTTCCAATCGCAAAGTACACCAAACTTCCAATCGCAAAGTACTAATCAAATTCAACCTCAAGCCTCGTTCACACACAATATAAGATATCAATCACAACCATCCTCTAGTCCCCACCAAACGCAATTAACGCCTCATACTCAAGCCCCACACCAACCACAGAATTCTGGTACAATAAACACAATATATAACAAGAACAATAATGTTTACTTCCAAATTGCTAAAGTGAATGTTTACGGACCAAATGGTGTCTACACTACTACATACGCAATGCTCGATACCGCAAGTGAACTTACCTTAATACAAGACTCTTTAGCCAATCAACTTGGTATTAAAGGTAAAAGCAAACCATTAACTTTATGCACTGTAGTAGGCACAAAGTCATATCCCTCATCAATGGTAAATATGTCTTTGAAATCAGCTGACCAACAGAATTCTACTAATCTAAATGTGACTGGTGCATGGATAGTTTCACTTGGCGCATTTCAATGTCCTCCTCAATACGTTGATCCTGAATGGAAACATACACAAGACCTCAATCTTTCGAACATTGACCCAGATCAAGTTCAGATATTAATTGGTGCCAATTTCCCTCAAGCACATGTACAACTGGAAATACGACATGGTTTACAAGGTCAACCAATGGCTGTGCGCACTCCACTAGGCTGGACCCTCATGGGGGTGGCTAACTCAAATCCAGAAGATCATTCATACTCCTTGAATCTAATTACACAACCGATTATTAGTTTAGATACCCAGTTAGAATCTTTTTGGAAAACTGAAAGTTTCGGAACTATGTTTCATGATCAAACTTATCTGTCTGTCGAAGACAGGAAATCTCTGCGCATGTTAGAAGACAGTGCTCATCTTTTAAAGGGACACTACAGTATGGGTATGTTATGGAGAAATGATCCAGTCTTACCCAATAACCACAGCATGGCAGAACGCAGATTTAATCATCTTTGCAAAAAGCTTGGCAAAGATAAAACTCTATCCGATCTTTATTCAGAAACAATGAATGGTTACATAAATAAAGGCTATGCTCGAAAACTTACTCCTATTGAAGCTATCAATACTTCTAAACGCACTTGGACAATTCCTCACCATGGTGTAATTAATCCTCACAAACCTGGAAAGATCCGACCTGTTTTCGATGCAGCAGCTACCTATTCAAACACATCACTCAATGATAATCTCATGACAGGCCCTGACCTACTAAATAATCTCTTTGGTGTGTTACAACGTTTTCGCCTATTCTCAGTAGCACTAGTAGCCGACGTAGAAGCTATGTTTCACCAAGTGCGCGTTTCCCCCGATGACACAGACTCATTACGCTTCTTATGGAAAGAAAACCTCTCATCACCTGGCCCGCCACAAATCTACAAAATGCTCATTCACATATTTGGTGCGGCTGATTCGCCCGCTTGTGCAAATTACGCACTGAAACGCACTGCTCTTGATAATGAAGACAAATTTAATGTATCAACTATAAACACTATTCTCTCAAACTTCTATGTAGATGACCTACTCAAATCAGTCGAATCGCCTGCCGAAGCTTTACACCTATACTCAGAGTTGACAGAGCTACTTCAATGTGGTGGTTTTCACTTACATAAATTCATGTCAAATAAAGTAGAAGTTTTAAGTGAAATTCCTGAAACAGAAAGAGTTATACACACGTCTGATCTTAATTTAGACGACTTACCTATTCAACGAACGCTCTGTCTACGATGGAATGTCTTGGAGGATACATTTATATATAATCCACAGTTTAAACCCAACTCCCCTACGAAAAGAAACATCGTGAGCACAATTTCTTCTATATTTGACCCATTAGGATTCTTAAGTCCTGTTATTATTCAAGCAAAATGCTTGGTTCAAGACATTTGGAGATCTAAAACCGATTGGGACGAAATTCTACCTACTGATCTTATCAAAAGATGGAACTCATGGTTGGCGCAATTAGAAGATTTAAAACACTTCAAACTTCCTCGTCATCATGCTGAATTCTCTACCAACTGCACGGATGTACAAATCCACATATTCTCTGATGCGTCTGAAAAGGCCTTTGGAGCTGTTGCATATCTACGTTATCATACAGGTTTCAAAATCACATGCTCTCTACTTGCATCTAAAACAAGAGTTTCACCAATAAAGCCAAGTTTGTCTATACCGCGACTTGAATTACAAGCTGCAGTGATAGCGATACGATTATGGAATCTTCTCAAAAACGAACTACACATTCCCCTTAATGATGTCTATTTTTGGGCAGATTCAACCACGGTACTCCAATATATTAATAATTCAACAAAA